AAGCTTAACGAGTTAGTAGTGTAGCTCGAGAGAGTCTCTCGGGAGGCTGGATTAGCCACAAGTTGTGGTGAACCAGGGTAAAATTCGGTGTGCCTCTTACTCTTCTCTTTACTTCTCTTTTAAATTTTTAATTCCTGCGATTTCTCCGATCAAACGCTATTCACCCCCCCTCTAGCGTTGGTCTTTTATTCTAACAATTAGTATCAGAGCCTAACTTGCGTCCAAACTTAACCGTTTGAGAGTAAAGCGATCATGGGTTCTTCTTCTAGAAATCTTTATGCAGGAATTGGAGAAGGTCAATCAACCTCGAGGCCACCGCTCTTTGATGGCACTAACTACACATATTGGAAAGAGCGGATGAGAATTTATATTCGCTCAACCAACTTTCAGTTGTGGTTGGTCATCTAGAATGGCGAGGAAACTCCAATGAAGAAGGTCGGTGAAAAACTCGTCCCAAAGACCGAGGACAAATTTGATGCCGAAGACATCAAAAAGGTGGAGAACTACGCCAAGGCTATCAATATGCTGTACTGTACCGTCAATCCTGATGATTATCGTAAGATTTCTTGCTGCACCACTGCCAAAGAAATGTGGGACAAGCTAGAGGTCACATATGAAGGTACGGACCAAGTTCGGGAAGCCAAAATTGACTTCCTAATGCAGGAGTACGAAATGTTCAGGATGAAGGAAGGAGAAAAGATCGATGACATGTTCGATCGGTTTTCAAAAATCATCAACGACCTTCACGCTCTCAAAAAGACGTACACCAATAGGGATCTCGTGAGGAAAATCCTGCGAAGCCTCACACCCGAATGGAGATCAAAGGCAGACGCAATCTATGAATCCATCGGAGTCTCAAATGTCACCATCGACGGGTTAAGAGGTAATCTCAAAACTTATGAATCCACTATCCTAACCCCGTCTTTGGATGAACAAAAGAAGAAGGGTATAGCGCTGAAAGCAACCAAGGAGTCCGCGGAAGATGACTCAAGCGACGATGACCACGAGTTCGGACTCGTCATCAAGAAGTTCCACAAATTCATGAAGAAAGAATTTGAAAGAAAAGGAAGAAAGCACGACGGGCCCCC